TTATTACACACATTAAAATATATACCAAATTTGAAACTAAAAAATTATATGAATCGACGTGTCACGTGAAAATTGATCCAATTAAAAAAAAAAAACTGATCTAAATAGGTCTTAAATTAAAAAAATTATCTCTAAAGCATATATTTCAACCTATTTGACAATATTATCGGATGATATGAATTTTTCGACTTTGGATCACTGTGCTATTATTTCAAAAATCGACTGAAATACATAACAAAACCGGATAGCATGATAAAGCCTCGTGTCCAGTAAAGTAATTAAAAACGAAATATATATGTATATATATTATACATTATTTTTGGGTGGTGGTTTTGTACGAGAATGAAAATGATTGAGTTACTATGAATTTATTGAATAAAATGAAATAAATTTAAATTTCTCTCGAGGATTTTATGAGAAGATGTAAAATATAGAAAAACAAAGTGATACTTGAACATTTATTAATACAACAATAACTTTAAATAGAAATTATAGTAATTATTTATCACACTTAAGTATTAATAACGCCACTATTAATCTAAGCTTGTGCTAACCGCGAGCCGTGTCAATAAATATTTTTTTTTTTTTTTTTACGCGCTTTTATTAGCCCATTAAGGGCCACAGCGGCCTCCCCAAAGGAGGAGGTTTCTTAACCATTTATACTCCGGGACGGGTGGTTAGTCCGTCGCCGGAGGTGGGATGGCGACTCCAAATTACCGAACTGATCTCTCGTTCGGTAAATGAAGCCGCCCGTGACCGAGTTTTGAACCTGAGACACTACGCGTCAAGCGCTGCCGCGTTACCGACTCGGCCACACCGTCCCACTAAATATTCAATAAATATTCCAAGTAATATAGGAACCACAAGTGGGTTCTCAATCTTCGCAAGAGTCTATATTTGTGTTGACCACAAAGAAAACTCACTCAAAGATTGGACTAAGCTGGTTAACTTCATACAATTGTTATCGATTTTATTTATTTAAATAATATTTTATTCTAGTAATAACTTAATTTTTGCGATTCCTCACTCAATTTATGTACTCATGAAACTTAACTTTAATCCTTAGAAATCTTCTGTGAAATGTAAGTTTATCTTCATGATGTTATAAGCAAGGTTGAAAATAAATATACTACAATTTTTTAATGAATTTATAATGTATGCCAAGCCACTTCTTGGACTTGTTGAAAGATCATAAAGTGAAGGAGTGAACCGAAATGACAGTTTTGTGCCCCTTTTATATTAAATTTAATCCATCTTGTTTTAACAATTATAGTTGAAATTATTCAGTGGTAAGGAAAAATATACATAAATAATACATAACTATTAAATTCTTTAACTTCAACTCTTATTGATATCTCAATGTTATCTTTAATAAAAGTATAACAAATGACACATAAATGATCATCATTATCATTATTACTTTTTATCTATACTCCCATTTCAGATATGTTAATGTACTATTCAATTAAACATCAAAGTATCAATATGAATCCTTTTTAAACTCAGTCCATCAATATACAAAGCTATACTTGAATTATTATTTATATTTACCGCCACCCTAATTTAGGAAATGTATGTTTTTAAGTTAAAACAGTATAAAAACTAAAGTTTGAATTACAAGTATAATAGCATTATTTTAATTTAAATTAAACATTTTTAAATTCAATGTATAATAATTAATAATCAACCTCATCTTGACTGAATTTTACATAAAATAGATCAAATAGTATTTATTATATTTATGAACAAAACTAACAAAGGTCCTCAACCTGTTTTTAAAAATATTTATACTAAAACAATGGTTTCAATATATTAGCTTAATTGAATTAAAATAAGGTTATTAAATTAAAAATAAATAAATTCACATTAAAATCACCATTTAAAACAATCAGTCTGTTGATTAGTAGGAATGCACTAAGTGAGGTTGTTAATTTGGACAATATTCCAGGTAAAGTATATTTAAAAATATTAATTGAGTACTATTACCAAATTAAGAGTTTAGTACATTAATATAATTAATTGTAATACATTGTAACTATCAACATTTTGTTCAACTTCAGGTAAATATTGTTGTTGATGGATAATTTTTTTATTTTTTATTTAATATATATTTTCATACACAACTCTTGATTGATAATCATTTAAAATCACTGAAATATTGTTATTTTAAATTTAAACTTTCTTTTGATTATAGAGTGTTTCTTTTATTTGTTAGCCATTTATTATGATTTAATAAAATCAAGTCATTTTCTATTCTTTTAAAAATTTGATCAATTATAAATCATTAATTATTTTTTAGATTCACTCGCATTTGTTTACAATAAATCAATTTACCATACATAATTTATAAATTTAGTTAAATAGAATCTTTAGAATGAGATATTTTAAAACAATTTCATTACTATTAAGAAATAATGTATAATGAGTATGTTCAAATATTATTATTTCTATAATTTATTTACTAAAATGAACCAATTTTATAATATCTCATAATCTAAAAACTAAAATTAATAATAAAATATTCAACAGAAATGTTATTTTAGTATCTAGTCAAAACAGATCAGGTAAATTGATCATCCATCAATATTATTTTGAAATGTCTCTTATTTTATAATGAAAAATTAAATAAAACATTAAACAAAGAATATATTTTTGGCAAAAAAATGTACAACTCTAAATCTATTCTTTCAGTAAAAACTTACTTATCAATAAGAGGTAAATTGTTGCTCTTGTCAGTCATATTTTTGATGTTTAGATTCTATGTTTTTTCAAAGAAATAATTTTGATCACCTTATAAATTCATAAATGAAATATAGTAATATTATTTTTAATAATACATCATTTAATTTTAAAAATAGTGCAATACCATCTATTTAGAATTATATTTCTTTATTATTTGTTCGATTATGCTGATTTAAAAGGAAAATACTATTTAGAATTAACAAAAAAACTACAAAATATCATAAATCGTATTAAGAAAAATACAACCAAATAAATTTAAATATTTATTTTCAAATTTGAATGATACAAGTTATATTTTAAATATCGCTATCAGAGTTTACTCGCCATTTCACCCACATATATATGTACCAAATTAAGGTGCTAATTAGTGATAAGAGATCACATAATCGCCATTTAGAGTAAATAGAACGAGACAAAATCACTGATAATAGAGAATTTAATGCACAAATATAGATAATAAAGTGATGAATGTTAACTGCAATTTATTACAAATAGTATTTATAATTTAATACTAATTATAATCAATGATAAAACCAATCGAGGGAATACCATTAAACATTTTAGTATCTTTTTTTTGTTTTTTTTCACCTGGCTCAAGAACATGTTCAATTGTAAGATCATTGGACCTGTATGGTGTGTACCTAGTAAATGTATTTGTTCTTAAATACATATGACATGTTAGAGGTGTTAAGGATTTCAACATTAAACACCTTTGATAGATAATTGCAACTCAAAAGAGATAAGACCATTTAAAGAAGTCAGATTTTTTATAAATATAACTTGGCAAACATATTTTTTGTTTTAAACAGATTTTTAATTGGTTTTTAGCTTTAGTACAAAGTTCAGAAGGTTGATAGAATATTCATTTAATGTCATTTTTTGTTAATATTTTTAAATTTTAGAGTTGGGTTTATTTTAGATTATGATTTCATTTTTTAGAAAAATGTTCCAATCCCTGATTGAAGTTATAACTATAGATTATACTTTAATTATACACAATTATTACACTAACATCTATTATCTTACAATTGTTTGAAATAATTATGTATATGCTAATAAAAAACAGTTACATTTATTATTTACTAATTTGTAGTACAACTATAAGTTTTAATGTTCTATTATTATATCATTTAATTACACTCACTATTTATAAGACTTTATTAAATACTGTTATTTATTATGAACAAATAATTACAAAAGTTAGTATATTAATTATATTATAATTATTGTACCAAATTTTATTGAGATCATTTTTTAAAAATGTAATCCAATTCTAAATAATTTGTACTTAAAAAACTAATAAAATATAAAAAAGTGATATGTTTTGCAATAAAAGGATGATTTATAGTAAACATACAAATAATCATCACATTATTAGTTTTTATTCCAATTATTTGAGCTCAGCTTTACCTTACAATGATTTGACAGAATTTTTACAGCAATTGTCGAGCTAATGCCACCTCATTATGAGTAGGGAACTATTAAAGGGTGTGTGTTACTGTTAAAGTTTCCATATAGTTACACATCTAGAAACTAACAGCAAACAGTGCAAATTATCAGTACTAATATGCCACACCACACCCTAGTAAATATCAAATAAAATGTCTTTAAAAAACATCAAAATTAAAAACTGTTATCTTCAGTATAATATTGTAAGCAATTAAAAAAGTAATTGCTTTAAACAATTAAAATATCAATGTTTAAAATAGTATTTAAAACTTATGTTTTCAAATCAATGTTGTAAACTTAGAAACCATTAATATAGATATCCAACTTAGATATCATTAAAAAATTTAAACTAAATTATATTAGTTAATAACAAAATTCATAATATAAACTATTCTAAAATTTATTTAATATTCCTAATTCAAATAGTTTTCATTATAATAATATAATTAATCGTAACCCATCATAAAAGCTTCTGCGTAAGCTAAATCATAATCAATTCTTCTTCCTTTAACTCTACGCCCAATGGGTTCTAAATCTGCATAACACTTGTCAAAAACTTTTTCAACAGCTGCTTTTGCTTCTTCTAATGTTACATCTCTAACAGCTAACACAGATACTGTAGCTTTGTGTTTAACACAGTCCTAAAAAAACAAAAGGTAATAATATATATTATCAACTTTTTTTTTAAACTAGTCTGATAAATTTGACTCTTTACTTGCCCCTCCGGAGAGGAATGGAAAATTGCAATTTTTGCATGAAAAGTTAACATTTTCAATTTAACTATTGAAAATGTTCTCAAAATATAAACTTATATAAAAAACTTCAAAAATATATTAAATTAAAGCTTAAGTTACATACGCTAAATTTAAAAACTTTTGTCTAGGCAACTCTTTATGAGCTTCCATAGTTTAAAAAACATATATTTTTGCATTAAAATTTTTTTTATAAGTATTTGAAAAATATTTATATTTGACATATTTCTTTTTAAATCGGTTCATTGATTCTTATAAAAGGAAATTCTAAACTTAAAATACACATATAAAAAGAAGGCATTTTTCAACTTAACTTTTGAAAATACTTTTATATATGAGGCACATAGAGCCAAAACAGCCTAACCCACAAAAGCGAAATCGTGCAGGACAGGCATTTAAAGTTTTGATTATTTTCAATATTTTTTTTTTTTTTAAACCCACCCCAAGGAAAATAACAATAATTTATTAGTATATATATATCCTTGCCTTTTAAACCATCTATAAAGTATTAGTCAATTAAAATTGGTTAAGTTTTTGATGTGGGTAAGACCACTATAATTTTTTATTAAATAGAGTTTTCTGTGGTTTAGGCCAACTTATAGGATATTTATTATTCACTTTTATTCACACAACATAAAAATATGATGTAAATAATTGTATTAGTTTATTAGTAACTTTTTTAAATAATATTGTAATTAAATTCTAGTACAGAATGATTATTAACAATGAGATTATTACTCAACTTAACGAAACAAAAAAATAAAATCACTTTTAATAGTGTGTAACAATATTTCAGTTAATAATATTTTACTTTTAATAAATTTGATTAACTTGAAAATTTGGTATTTATAAATTTTTAACATTATTATCACATAATAGTCTTCAGTATTGAATAATATTAATAAACAATATTATAATTATAACTAAACCAAATAAAATAAAATAAAAATAGCTTTTAACAATATAACTCACTAAAATTCAGATGGCTTAATCCACTAGCATAGGGTTGGGCCATTATGGTTCTGAAATTATATTTCGTAATCACAGTGCCAAAAACAATTTATGTAATGCCATTTAATGAATAATTTTTTTTGTGGGATAGACCATAGTGGATTTCAAATATTATATAAACAGAATTTGAATTTTGTGGGTTAGGCTGTTTTGGACCTATACACCTCATATATATCTTAAATTAAAACTTATGTAATAAACTTTAATTTGAAAAAAAATTGTTGACCTTTATAAATGTCATTATGGTAAAAACAAATATCAGAGTTAAAATAAAAAGAACAATTTGAATATAAAAATTACACAATGTAGATAAATTGTTATACAAAAACTTATTTAAAAGTATTATTAAGAAATTAGTGTATACTCCGTTGGCTCTTTTAAGAAGGGTAAGTTTTTTTTGTATTTTTTAAGTTTTTTAAAGTTGTAAATAAACCATTTTGAGAACTACAACCTCCATCAAAAAAATTAAATTTAGTACTTTCTTTGTGTACATTTTTTATTATTACTATTTTTATTGTAATTACTTTTTAAAAAAATTACAACTGCAAATTTTTTATTTTAAAATTCTTTACAAGGGAAGGCCAAAATGATGAGGTCACCAATTTTCATAAAAGTTATATATATAACTTGTTTAGAATATTTTGCTTCCCTTGTTAAGAAAGACTACTGAAATTTTAAACCAGCTTAAATTGTTATTTTTATCTTTGAAAGTATGATGTATTATACCTTATTAAAATGCATAGAAGTGTTAAATGGTTGAGATACAAGGTTCAATTATGTTTAAAATAATCAATTTTCCTACTTTAACGGAAAAACATTTTCGTATTACCAATTAACAAACATTATTGGTAACAAAAAGAAACTAACTTGATGTTTTTTCTTAAAGTTAAAAACAGATGAATGACCTTCTAACATTGATGAAAAAATTCCACAATGTGTTAAATTTGCAGCTCTTATTTCAGTACATGCTAAATGCTCAATATTTCGAAAGTCTAATTTGCGTGTACAACTATCAAACATGTGTATAAGTTCATGAGTAAGTACACCTTGAATTGTTCCTTTAGATGTTGCTGTGTTTTGGCATATAACCACCTAAAAATTAGCCAAAAAATTAATTTTTTACAATAAAAATAAACAGAATAAATTACTTGATTCATTATTGGATCATAGCCACCATGAACAGTCGTATCACAAAGTTCACATGCTATATGCCTTGATGGGTTTACTTCACTAAATCATCATATTATAAAGAATATCTTATTTTATATATTTATTTATTTCATATATTTGTATACTTGAGTATCTCATTTTTTAATAGAATAACTTACTGTGTATTTAATTACATTTGACATGGCCACAGGGAATTGATGGCTAGTCATTGAAATCTAGAAATTATGTGAAAAAAAGAGACATGGTACAGGATTCGAACCAACGACTCAAGGTGTCATAGAGAAAAACCTTACCCCTAGATCAACATGCACTTATGTTTCAGATCCTGATACAATTTCATATAGATTGATAACATAATATATGGCAAAAAATAACACAGTACCATGTCACATTTATAAGTTGTGTAATGTACAATATGAAACTTAATTTAAATAATATTAAGACAAAATATCAATAAGAATATAAAAAAAATTGAATCATTAAAAATCTCTGATAATATTACATTTTTTAAATATGAAAAACCATAATAGAAAATTTCACCATTACATTTATAAATGAAATAAAAATCAATAGAACTCACCAGCCTGCTTTCTTTAAAGCACCAAACATTACTTTGACTAAAGGACCTATTATGGATAAATTCATTAAAATTAAATCATTAACGACAAAAATTACGAAAAATGTTGTATCTAGTAATTTTTAATAATAACATGGTATTACAATTTAAGTACTCACTATTATTTATGCAATATTTAACTTTTCCTTCACATTTAATTTTTTCGAAATTTTCATTTCCTCGTCCTTCAAATAAAACATTTTTGACAGTCGGCTTAAAATTACCTCTCCTCTCAGGGAATAAATCAAAACCCCAACCATCGTAATTATCTGTTTTTGATGATTGTCGATTACTATTTTTACCTTCTTGATTCATTGTGAAGAAAAATAAATAATATATACTAATAAAAACCTAGCAAAAATAAAGACTTTAAGTTTTAAATTCGTTAACATAAGTTACAATTAAATAACAAATCAAGTTTAATTTTCAGAATTATTAAAATTCCTAATTTATTTTAGATAAGTTTCATCCCGGCGTATTTGTTATCAGTGATAACCAGTATTGCTGGTAGAGACGGACATTATCAAATATTTTGATTACCAGATATATCAAATAATCATTCAATTGTTATTATCCAACAACTAGTTTTTGACTATCGAACTTCCGAGTGAATTATTCGAAAGTTTACATTCAAATTAAAATTACTGGTTAAATTTTTCAATCAAATAAATACTACGGAATGAAATTTGCACGACTATGTTCGGTCTTAGTTAAAAAAAAACTCAACTATATTTTACTTAATAGTTCGAAAATATTTAGTCAGTCAAATAATTTATTTATTGTTTCATTTAGTTGTTTTAATTCACATAATATGCTGAATGGTTGATAACATTCGTCAGTCATAATCAATAGTTCGATACCAAAATATTATCGAATAACATTTGTTTTTGTCTATAATTTTTGAAAACAACAGGATACATGGATAGTTTTAGACTAGAATAGTTCAATAGAAGTGACCATCAATTTGGTTCTATCTTTTTCCTTTCTTTCATTTATTTTTAATATAAAAAAAGTAAAAAATTTGTTTTATAGTATGAAGATGCTTTTGTTTAATTTAAAACATTCTAATTTGTTATCGTTATAACAACATAATTTGAAATTTGTTTTTTGTATACTCAATGATAACACCAGCACAAATAAAAAAAAAAGTTGTCTGTACTTTTGACCGGACCCCCCCCCCCTTTGGACATCTATTTCGACCTGTTGAATCTGAATTTGATATCCGTTTGGTCCGGTCACCCTCCAGATTTGAGTAAAATGCAAAAAACCCAAAAATTTATGAAAAACTGCAATCACAGCGATGAAAACATTTTTGTGGACTCAGATCAAGTATGATTTTTATGTATATCAATTTACTAAATCTGAATGTCAATTAGCCCGTGGAGCCGTCAAAATTTTAAAAAAATTGCAATAAATCATGAAAACTCGAAAAAGATAAAAAAAATTTTTTTGATTCAGATTGAGTATGGTTTTTATGTATTTTGTTCTACTGAATTTGAAGTTTTATTGACCCATTAATGTTTTAAAATGTTAAAAAAATCTGGAAAATTGCAGTTATAAATATGAGAAAAAATCTATTTAACACTATTATTAATGACTTAACAAAGCAAAGAAAGTAGGCCCGCAGTCGTCGTCATCAAGCGACTGCAGCTCTTCAGTAGTGGGAAACTTGGCTACTAGAGAGTATACTATTACAATCTTTGTAATAAAAGTCCTGATTCATTTCGTTACGTTTGTGGCGAGTTTCTCACAAGACAAGGCCTACTTTCTCACCCTGATCAGACGTTGATACGGGGTTTACAGTTCCCTGCATCGTAAAGTACTTATCACTTGTACCTGTCATGACGGCACACTGCTGTTAATCCAGGGACTCTGCCAGATGGTTCTGTTGACAACCATCACCACGTGGAGGTGCCCTAGTTGCAGGCACAAGCAATCATAAGGAATTTTTAATGGATCTCAAATTAGAACTCTTGTGGGATGCAAATTTTATAGGATACAATGTTCACAGGTGGGTCCAGTCAAAAGTACAGACAACTTTTTTTTTTGTGTGCCGGTGTAACTTTTCTAGAAAAATTTGAAGTAATTTATAATAACTACTTTATAAAACATTGATTCCACAAATTTTTGTTTTTTCTACCTAAAACAACTTAGGGTGTGAAATTAAATTATTTTTAATAAATTCAAATACTAAAATAATATAACTTACAATTTAAACATTTATCTTAAATTAGGGTAAAATTCATGTACAATGAACTAGTTAAATTATTTATTCGACTTTATTTTTGGATCAATGATAATAATTTGTAAATCCATTACATTTGTGCCGGTGTGACCAATTTTCAAGAGGTCTAAACCATTATTGAATTTAGAATAAAATGTATAACTATCATTGTTTATAATGTACATCAACGGGTCTAGACCTTCAGTTACAGCTTTTTTCAGTAAATTTGGGTATCCAAAAGCACCACAGGCATCAGTTGGACCATCAATTCCATCTGTTCCTCCACTAAAGAACATTATATCAAAATTATTTTCATTAATTTCATCTAAATCTATTGATGTTCTTAAAGCCAACTCTTGATTTCTCCCTCCAATGCCATTTCCTTTTAAAATTACTGTAGTTTCCCCACCACCAAACAAACACAACCCACAACCTTTTTGTGATGCTTTTTTTACTTTATTCAACAAATCATCAAGATTTATTTCACAATTTAAAGTTAAAATGTTTTTAAGGAGTAATTTTTTCAAATTTACATCTTCATCATTTAGGTACAATTTGCAAATAAATTTGATAAGATTTGAGTAAAGTTTGGACACTTCTTTAATATTACCTTGTATAGAATCAGAAAGTAATACAGAAACATACTGAGTTGTCTTATTGACTCCTGTATTTAGTGCAATTTTATTATTACCAACAATTATATTGTGAACTTTTGTAAAATCTATATCAGTATCTATTTTATTTTTTAATATAGCATCAAGTACAGTTTTTGGTAATTTATCTATAACATTTAAATTTTTTATTATTTTAAGTGGCACTTCATTACTATCTTCATTAAGAACAGTTGGTCCACTGGCAATAGCATTCATTGGATCTCCAATTATGTCTGATAAAATTAATGAAACAACAGTAGCATTATTGACAAATTTGATAAATCTCCCACCTTTAACATTTGATAAAGCTTTTCTGACAGAATTCAATTGATTTATTGATGCCCCACAAGATCCCAATAAATTTATTGCACAAATTTTATCTGAAAGTGGAACTGTTGGTGAAGACAATAAAGCTGATCCTCCCCCTGAGATTAGAACTATTAAAACATCATTAGGATTTAAACTTTTAACAAAATTCTTAATATCATTAGTATTATTAACTGCATTTTGATCAGGTATATTATTTTCGGCACCTTCAAGCACAGAAATTACAGAATCTTTCACAGTTACACGAGTCCCAAAAGGTACACTTAATACAGCTTTTTTTAAATGACCATCTAGAATTTTTTCCATCTCTAAAGCCATACTTAATACAGCTTTACCAAATCCAACCATATAAATTTTTTCTGGTATTGGAATTTGGATATTATTTACACACAATACATATTTTCTGAATGTGACAGAGTTTCGAATTATGTTCCTAGGTATAACAGACATTATACATTCTTGGAAAATATTTGTTATATTCTTCTTCATTTCGTTCATGAATATAAAAGATAATCAACCAATATCTACAAATAAAGATAATTTTTTAGTTCATATCATTTATACTAATCAATTTTGAAACATAGTATTACTATAGTTATATTTACTCTAATATAACAAAACTATTATTTATTTTACATTGAAGATTTTAACTACCACTTTTGTATCTTTACTAGTTTTTCATTTTTAATAAAATCTTTCTATAAAGTTTAATTTATATTTTATTAGTTTTCAGATAAAAAAAGGTATAATATAAATGTTTGAATCCTATACTATTTTAAATTATAAATAACCATGAGAAAATATGTACTTGCACCAAGCTATCAATTTTCGAAACAAACAAATGCCGAATAATTTATTCTTTCTCGGTATATTCACACAAATTAAAAAAAAATATCTTCATAAATAACTTAAACATGAAATGATAACATTCTAAGAACCAGGTTATGGACATTTCGATATGTAAGCAAAAAGTAGCAGCTATTTTATTGTAGGTATTGGTATTATCATTTTGTTGTCATGATAAGAACTAATATCGGTTGAGTGAAAATATATATTACAAGAATTTTACTTTTAGTCATTTTATTTCATAAATTTTTCATTTTTTATATAATATTATATTTAATATAATAGTTTATGTTTGCGTTGTAAAAAACTGCATTCACTCAAGAATTACTACCAAAAATGATGATTATAAAATGTTTAAAAAACCAAAGGATTTTCCTTGGTTAGGTTTTTTTTATTATAAATTAATAAAAATAATATTTGTATCTTAAAAAATCTTAAATTTATTCAATAGTTATAAAAAATGGTTACAAAATTGCAACAGAAATGATTTGTCAGACAAATCAATTGATACATTGAATAAGTTTTATATGGTTTTTAATGTTCATTTCAGACCTTATATGTTTTCTAACCCAGAAAATTTTTTCAAAGAGTAAGGGCTTAAATTGTCTGAATGACAAATGAAATTTTAACTAATTTAAGTGGTATTGCTCCTCCTAATTTAAGTGGTGTAACAGTCTTATTGCATTTTATCCTGAGAAAACTCTTATTGTTTGAAAATTTTAATGTTGATATGGCTGATAACCATGATTTAAGTTTTTCTGCTATAAATAACCTTACTTATGTATGTGACTATCTAGTTAAGAAATTACTAAAAAAAACATAATAGTGGTACATGTATTAGTTATGCTAAATCTCAAAATAAGTTAGATGAATCGTTTTTTTTACATATTTTAAGGCTTACTATAATGAAAATATATCCACTTATGGAAATTTAAATACTCCACCTAATGTGTTTGTAAATTATATAATATTTTTATAGAAGAATTTCCAATAATTGCTGTAAACAATAATATAGGAAAAAAATAAAAAAAGGAATAAATAATATTACTTTTAAGCATCCATGTCCAAACTTTGATTATGAGTTTTTAAAAACCTTACACAACACTGAAAATATTTAGTTCTTTAAAATTTTTAAACAAAATTTTTGGTCCGTTCTGATTATTCTATGTAAGAACTAATATAACATAAAATGAATATAAATATATGTATATATGACGACTGTGATTGGACACGATGACTTATCAGGCGATCGATCTAGTTTGTTATTTTGTTTGTTTGTATATTTCCCGTAGAGAGGAAACTTTGAAATAATTGCGCCATCAACTATTTTATAAGTATTTTCCGATTACCCCACATTTTAAAATTTTATGTTCCGGAAATATTTTTGTCGCTAGGTGCTCGCCGAATATTCATCCTATGAAATTTCTATAACAAAATTTGATTGCACTCCCCAGGGGCATAGATATAAATTTTCAAGGGAGGTCCACATTTTTTCAAAGTGATGAGTAAAAAGGTCTTTACAAACTAAAAAATCTTTATTTACACGTGTTAAAGCTTAAAAAGAACAGTATAGCATAGTTGGGACAAGTATAGACGATAACTGACCAGGAGCGTCATTTCAACTTTTTTGTTAAAAAATGTTGGCAGGCCATTTAGCCTCATATACCAGGCCACAATTGTTACTACCTTTTAATGGTGAACATTTTTTGGGAGTCCTTTTTATAAAAGTTGTATTTATTTTGTTGGGTGGCGCAATATAAATTAACCTTGATAAGTTTTCACCTAGATTTATTAAATGCATAAAAAAACATAATTTAAAAATTTGAGATTGAAAAAACATTTTACAGGTTGCTCAACACGATTTTCGTACCAAAAACAACATCCTAATTATTAAATTACTAAAATTCTAAATTTTAATAAATTATAATCAGTATACATAATATTTTGTATTTTTAATGTAATAAACAATAATTTTATAATTTTCTAAAATTTATATTGATTACACAATTATAATAAAACGTCTAATTACAGGTTACTTTTCGGATCAATCTAAAAAAGGTCAAATATTTTTTTGTTTTAAAAAATTGATGATTAAGATCAATGGTGCTCGTTTGGGGGGGGGTGACTTTAAATATAATACCACTAGTTATAGGTATAAACAATTGTCAAATTAAATATAATAAAATAAACTACAATACTCATATTATTTAAAGAACGCAGTAGAAAATAGGAACGAAAATAATAATTATAGCGATTATAACCGCTATAACCGTAGCAACCGATAACGACGAGCGTACACGTATTAATTCTAAAAATAAATTACCACATTTAGTAATATACTAATATTTTTAAAGAACATTAAAAAATATATATTTTTAATGACTTGTTTTTTAGCTTCGATGCGAAGCTGAGAAGGTATTGGTTTTACTAAGATGTGTTTATTTTTTTTTGTTTCTGTTACCACTTTTTCTGAGCTCTCACCGAACCGATTTCTTTCAATGATACGTCAAAAGATCACAACAAATCGTATCTAGTCGAAGACATTACCCTCAAAAATTGAAAAAAATTCCCTCGTTCCCCGTAAATGGGGGAAACCTCCAAAAAAATTATAAATTTAAAAATCGCTTATTTTCGAAATTTTTTCAATTTTTTTTACTTAAAAACCATAACTTTTTCAAAAATGAACATATCAATATAATTCTTTTTTATATAGATGCATAATATCATTACCTTTCATTTGGTATATTTTTTTCATAAATTTAACCCTTAACCTGCCCACAAGGGGGGATTTAAAATGACNTAAATCCTCATTCGTATTTGGTATTAACATTAGTACCGATTTTATTCAATGTACCGAACATTTTGGTATTTGCAGTAGATTTTATATTTTCAATAAATAAGCAACAGCAATATCAAAAGGATTTCCGTTCTTTATATAAATTATTTAAAAAGACATATCTTCTTTTTCTACAGCTTTTACAGTCCATTTAAGACCTTCGCTGCCTTCAGATCTCCAAATATGACCCGTCCATTCTAACCTTTTACTTTTTAGAAACGAACTAATAATGGTCTTAATAAACATTTGGTACAATTCTTGGTTAATTCTTCTACTTTATTCACCACTCTCAATTACAGGGTCATAGATTCGATGTAGTACTTTTTTTCAAAAATTTTTATCTTCTAATCTCTCTTAATCACTGACCAGATTTTACACCCATACGTCAAAACCGGTCGTAAAAATCTGGAGTATAGATATGTTTTAGATTGCCTGGATAGTAGTTTGGATTTAAATAATGTCGCAAATGCAAAATATCCCTTGTTCCCTGATGCAATTCTCAATTTAATTTCATTGTGCATATTGTTTCAGCTGTTTATATTAGTTCTCAAGTACCTAAAATCTGTTACTTGTTGAAAGATATATCCATCCACTAGCAAATCAGCTTGTGCTCTCGCTTCTCTTGATACTACTAGGTACTTAGTATTTTCATGATTAACTTTTAATCCAATTGGTTCCATTGCTTTTATTTGGTCTGGAATATACTTCCAGCCTTTGCAGGATTATCATTAACAGAACTTTATAACAGGTGTCTAAAAATGAAATTCCTCTATAGTTAGTTGTTTTCATCGGGTCTCCTTTTTTATACATCGGACATATGATCATATATGGTTTCATAACCTTGACTTATCCAGTAGGTCAAATCTTCTTCCTTACCATGCATTCTATCTTTCCTTAAATTCCGTTCCCTTAAGTCCTCTACACGATAGTGAAGCTCTATGTAATTTTCTCATCTTCTCTTTGACTGTCCTGCCCTAACAGCAGAAATAAAATGTTTAGCCTCTCAGCCTGCCACAATATTAATCCCTCTTCTATAGCTAATACTCTTAATTTCTGTTCTTCTATTATAATGACATGTAAATTACATTAATTATGTATTTCCATTATTTCTTTCCTGAAGAGTTCCGGCTTTACCATTTAATCTCTAATTATTTTATTACTATTATTATTTTGTAGTTATTTATTTATCTATTTTTTATCTTCTTCCTTTCGAGTACCATCGACTCCAGTGTCTTGTGTCATTTATCAGTCTCAGTATTCGGTTGTCGCTGTCCGGCTTACTGTTTAAAGTAAAGTCTTTGTTTATTCCTGTTCAAACCTATATACTCTTTTCCTCCACATTTCAGAGTATTTGTGTCTTGCACTTCGTCAGCATCTTATACCTAGGTGTTACTCTTATTCTCCCTTCCTATAACAACAGCCTTTCGACACCCACAGCTAACCCGGAGTGTCACCCGAGCACGGTGACTGCTGTACGACAACACACACGTGAATACCTAGACAGCAGGCACCACATCATCCATCTTCCTGCTATATTTTTGTTCGTTTCATTTTACTGTGTTACGACAATTCTCAGTTTACCTAAAGTGTAACTAAAGATAATCGAAACAAAAATGTTTAATTTATTATTATTCTATAAGTAATTGAGTGGGTTATGATAAAAAAATCACTCTGTATATATTATTGTAATGCAACCCTTGGTAGTTTCTTAAAAAGTATATATAGAACCATATGTCTTATGCTCTTGTTTCCTCTATCACCTCATCTCCCTATGTAAATATTAGGTTAATGAAAAAAAATGATGTATAGTTCTAGAAAATGTGTGAACTTTGATTTTTTTGCTGTGTTATCTTTAATTTTTTTGTTTTTCATTTCAGAAATTAACTTAAGTTCCCAGTTTTTTTTTTGTGATTTATTTAGAAGTTTGTTATTGTAATTTTAAATTTATTGAAGGAACTGTTAAATATTATTTGTGTTGTTTGTTTTTTACAAGTTCTGTTTCAGGTGGCTGTCGTAACCAGTGCTCATACCTCATCTGCGGTTCTGTAGGTTTTATTAATTAAAATGTTGAGACATTGAAAATATAAAAAGGTAAACATTATTAAGAAATGATAGGTAATATAAAATAGCTTAATGTTATAAATAGTGATTTATTCAGTTAAGATTATTTTTATAATATTTGATAATGACCAGTAGGTAAATTTTTCACCAATTATAAAATTTAAAAAAAGACATATTTTTATATATATCATTGAAATATTAATTATTTATTGAGTCAAAGTAACTATTATCGATACTTGTTTGTTAATTTGTAGTTGGTGTTTACATATTTATCAATTAATTTATTTTTTATTTAATATAACTGTGATAACTACATTTTAGTCACTTGTTTTATTTATTCATTAGTTAAGTTTATCTTTAGCTCATATTTTTCAATTTTGTGTAGGCGCCCATTCTCATAATTTGTGTGTTATATGAGTAACTAGATGTTTCTTTTAGTATAATATATGGTCAATTCTTTTTCATACCCAAGAGAATTGGTGTTTGGGTGATAACTGTTTATTATGGACAATGTAGTTAATAATACAGATATTGTAAATGAGTAATGCTACTTTAAATTACTTAATTTGATCATGCTATTTTGGTAATATGTATACTTTGTTAATATAAACAAACAAAACTTATCTATATTATTATTAATACAAAATAAAAATCCACTAAAAATGAGTTTTTATTATTTTATAATTGAGTGAAACGTTTAAGAATTTGTAATTTTTTTGTGTTCTATTAGTGTTATTANAACGTTTAAGAATTTGTAAGTGTTTTGTGTTCTATTAGTGTTATTAGCTGTTGGGCTTTGATAACATTCATGTTGTAACAAAAGGAAAAAAAACGCGTTGGTGCTATGTGACTTTGAGTGATCTACATGATTATCTTTTTTGTTGGATGTTTACATGAATCATTTATACTTTTTACAAGTTATAAATAGAATATACAGTCTGGACTTTTGCTTGAGAAAGTGTTAGCTCCGTGAAGGAATATAACTTGCAATAAGTTCGTTGAAAAGAGCAAGAAGGGATAAAAACAGATATTCTCATAGCTAGATTACCTGGACCCACTTACATTAAAAATAGTGACCTCACACTTGAGGACACGCATGCATTAATATGTAAACGTTCTCATCCGAGTAATAACTGTCCTGCACACAATGTACAAATGACTGACTGCTTATTACTCTACATTGCAATATCAATGGGTAGTATTGGATTATTAAATCACAATTTAGCGAACAGAAAAGATGTGGTGATTTTACATAATTTCAATAAGGCATGTCACTATTACTAATATCCTTACAATTTTATCATACTATATAGAAATTTTAATAGATATAAGAATATATAAAATTAACATAAGATACAATTTTTTTTTTCTTTAATT